TCATCGTGTCTGTGCCCCATTCAGAAGCCTTTGGTGGCTCCCCGTCAACCACAGGAGAGGATTCAAGTCTCTGACATGGCCTGCAAGGGCCTCAATTTGGTATCTGTCCTCCTGTAAATACCTCCACCCCTTTCCCTTCTCACTATTTTATTTATTTATTTGTTCATTCATTCATTGATTTGTTCATTCATTCTTTGAATGTGTATTTTTGAGAGAGAGCATGAGTAGGGGAGGTGCAGAGATAGAGAGACAGACAGACAAAATCTGAAGCAGGCTTCAGGCTCTGAGCTGTCAGCAAGGAGCCTGGACCTGGGGCTTGAACTCATAAACCGCGAGATCATGACCTGAGCCAAAGTCAGCCGCTTAATCAGCTGAGCCACCCAGGCACCCCTCAACTGCTGTGATTTTTAAATTCTGTAAAATTACCAGTAGAACTAGTTGCCCTTTCTTTTATATCCTGCCTGGGTAGTAAGTAGGTCACCCTTCCTCCAGATTCTTAATGTTTTGTGAGGTCTAGTCCTTAGAGCTTTGTCCCAGGCAAGGCTGATGGCTTTCCTCCGGGCCTGTTCTGTCACCTGACCCTACTGCAGAGGTTTGGGTAGATGCCACCATTGACAGATACCATACGCTTTCCCCTAGCTGGACCATCAATGAATTGCACCCAGGCACTTGGGGGGGAACCTCTGCGATTCAAAATCCCCACTGAGCTACTGGATCTTTAGGGAGAAGGATAAAGCTTCCCTGAAAGGGTGTCTGCCACTCCTTCACGTAAAACTGAGACAACGCTAGGGCCAGGTTGGCTCCACTCCTGAATGGACTATTTTCCTCTGGCCTCTGGCCGGCAAAGCCTGTTGCGTCCCTCGCTTGCTAACCATTCAGTCTAAGTGGCCTTGGAATGGGGATGGGGCGTCAGGAAGGGGGGAATCCCCAGGCCGCCTTGCGAGAAAGCTCAGCTCCCAGGAGATGGAGCTGTTGTATTTGGCGCCTTGTCCGGCAGGTGGCGCTGCTGTACTGTGAAACAGTCTCTCAGCACATTCTCTTCTCTAATGCGTCCGTTTTTTTCTTTCATCCAGGGATTTCATTTTGTTTTCTTTAGCTCACCCGCGAGGGGACAGGAGTCATCTCTACATGGGGTGATCTCCGCATCGGACACGCTCTTTTGGTCCTTTGTGGGCATTTAGAATACACATAGAACACATCAATTTTTATTTTATTATTTTTTTAAGTTTTTATTTAAATTAGTGAACATATAGTGTAATACTGGTTTTGGGAGTAGAATTTAGTGATTCATCACTTAAATGTAACACCCAGTGCTCATCTCAAGTAATACCCATTACCTATTTAGCCCATCCCCCACCCACTTCCCCTCTAGCAACCCTGTTTGTTCTCTTATAGTTAAGAATCTGTTTTATGGTTTGACCCTTCTCTCCTTTTATTTTCCCGTGATTTTGTTTCTTAAATTCCACATATGAATGAAATCATATGGTATTTGTCTTTCTTTCTTTTTTTAATTTTTATTCATTTTTGAGAGACAGAGACAAAGCATGAGCGGGGAAGGGGTAGAGAGAGAGGGAGACACAGAATCGGAAGCAGGCTCCAGGCTCCAAGCTGTCAGCACAGAGCCCGATGCGGGGCTCGAACTCACGAACTGCAAGATCATGACCTGAGCTGAAGTTGGACCCTCAACTGACTAAGCCACCCAGGCGCCCCTGGTATTTGTCTTTCTATCACTGACTTATTTCGCTTAGCATAATACACTCTAGCTCTTGCAAATGGCAAGATTTCATTCTTTTAGATGGTTGAGTGACAGTCCATTGTATATATACACCACATCTTTTTTATCCCTTCGTGAATCGATGGACATTTGGGCTCTCTCCATAGTTTGGCTATCGTTGATAGTGCTGCTATACACGACAGTGCATGCACCTCTTCAAATCAGTATTTTTGGATCCTTCACTGGGCTGTAGGGTAATTGTATTTTTTACTTTTTGAGGAACCTCCATACTGTTTTCCAGAGTGGCTGCACCAGTTTGCATTCCCACCAGCAGTGAGTGTTAGAGGGTTCCCTTCTCACATCCTTGCCAACATCTTTTGTTTCCTGTGTTAGAACACATCAGTTTAAAAAATTCATCCTATTTTATTTATTGAGTACCACTTTATGCTAGGAAGTGTTCTAAACAGAAGTAAAACAAACAGAACTATCTTCGTAGAACACACACACTAGGAAAAGAGACAATAAACAGATAAATGAGTAAATATATAAACTAACAAGTACAATAGTAATCACAAAGCATGACGAAAGGACATTAGATGGCTAGATGTTGCTGTTTTCTCATTATACACTAGATCAAGATCACTTTAGCTTTAATCCCCCTTGCAAACATTGCTTACATCCTATCAGTTGAATTTGGGCACTTTATTTTTCCTACGGAAATGCAGAAGCTGCCAGGAGATTAGCTATTCTTTGATGGGAGCTTGAGAAAGGGCAAGCAGTAAGGGAAGGAGAGGGTAGTCTGGATGGAGGACTCAATGAGGAGACTTCCCCCCCCCCCCCCCCATTTTCAGCACCCAGCACTGCCTCCTGCCATGGGGCTACTACATACTAGGGCTTCTGAATCCAACTGTAAAAGTTTTGAGTCCCCTCTCTGCCCAGGATTCCCCAGCACACTCAACTTTTTGAATCTGCAGTTTTATGCTTTCATCAAATTGAGAAAATTGTGGTCATTATGTTTTCAATTGTTGCCTCCTTTGGTAACTCTCTGGTGCTTTCAGGTAACTGTTTTTCCTATTTTGTGCAGAGTTTATATTTTTTTCTGCAGAATTGGCCCAGATAGTTGGATGCCAGAATCTCTGGAGGGTAGACCAAGATGTTGGGTAGTAGAATATATTGTTTTCTAATCCTAATGCTTTCTGTAGTTCTCCAGTAACAAATAACAGTATGCAATTCTCTGTGGTTCATATACCCTCACAAATCTGAGCATCTATGACCCCGGAAATGAATGACACTTACTCATCAAGCATCCATGCTACACCGACAGGAGGGTCAGTTGGCCAAGACTTGAGCTAGAAGTATACTAAGAATTTGCTTAGTATTCAAGATTTTGAGCACTTTTCTCAAATTATTTGTGGCAATCAATAATTTTAACATTGCAATTATTTTATTTATTTTTTAATGTTAATTTTTTTAAAAAAATTTTTTTCAACGTTTATTTATTTTTGGGACAGAGAGAGACAGAGCATGAACGGGGGAGGGTCAGAGAGAGAGGGAGACACAGAATCGGAAACAGGCTCCAGGCTCTGAGCCATCAGCCCAGAGCCCGACGCGGGGCTCGAACTCACGGAGCGCGAGATCGTGACCTGGCTGAAGTCGGACGCTTAACCGACTGCGCCACCCAGGCGCCCCATTTAATGTTTATTTTTGAGAGAGAGAGAGAGAGAGAGAGAGAGAGAGAGAGAGAATCCAAAGCAGGCTCCAGGCTCTGAGCTGTCAGCACACAGCCTGATCCAGTGTTCGAACCTTCGAACCACAAGATCATGACCTGAGCCAAAGTCAGATGCCTAACCGACTGAGCCACCCAGGCACCTCTAACGTTGCAATTATTAAAAATTGAACTAAAAAAAAATGGACTAAAGAAGAATGCTTTGTGATATAGAAAGGTGTTCACCATATAATGGAGGAAAATGTTACCGGAATTATGTACCATTACGGTCCCATTTTTCTAAATTGTTTATTTACGTATAGAGATCTCAACCGGGGTGTGAAAGGAAAATATGTTTTAAGCTACAAGCTACAAATGTTAATTGTGTTCGCAGTAGTTCTGAGTTGTGGGATTATGGATGATACCTTCCCTCCTTTTTCACTCCTCTTTTCTCCACAGTAAACAGTCTAATTTCCTCCACTCTCTATCCCCCTTCCCTGCTGTTTCTCCATAGCCTTTCCCACCATTCGATATACTATTTATTTTACTAATTCATTTACATATACCATTTATTTTGCTCATTCACTTAAAAGTCAGATCTTAATTAAGAGGCCAGGGAATTTTGCCTGTTTTTTCCCTGCTGTGTCCCCTGCATGACTTCTCCTATAGTTTTCTTAGTCTCCCCCGACTGCAGGGGCCGCTTCCACTGTCAGGGGCAGTCTGGCTGCAGAGACTGCTTCCGAACAGTAAGAATACTGACTGACACGCCTGGCAGGAGAGACATTTACTAATTTGTCGTCGTCGTCGTCACACTGGTGATAGGACGCAGCCGGAGTTCCCGGACGCTGTTCTTCCCTTAGCACAGGAAGAAAACCACGCCCCCACGAGCCAGGCTCGCGGGCCAAGCCCGGAGCCACCCCGCGCTCACACGGACAAGGCGCCGCATAGCAAAGCTGCCCGGAACGCGCCAGGGAGCCGGCTGCCACGCGGTAACACAGCACGTGTGACCAGGTAACTAGGGACGCTTCCGGTCTCCAAGCCAGGGGAGGGGAAACGCGCGTGCCGCGCGCCTGCGCACTCTTCCGCCCAACTCCGCCACGGCCCAGACCCCCCCCCCCGGCCACGCCCTCCGAGCACGGAGGCGCTGGGAGGAGGCGTGTACGCTCTGCGCTCTGCTTCCTCCCCGAGTAGAAGGACACGCCCCTCCGCCAAGCCCCGCCCCTCCCCCGCCGCTCGGGCTCCGCCCCCTCGCTCCGCCAGCCTCGGGAGTTTCGCCGCCTGCGGGCTCGGAGCCCGGTCGTTTGCCACTGAGGCGCCTCGGCTGAGAGCGGTGGTTTCCGGGCGGAGACCGGTGGGCTGTTCCGGCGGGTCAGGAGTCGGAGGCCGGGGGCCAGGCAGGCGGGGCGGGCCGCCCTGACCGCGACGGCGGAGCCTAAGTCCGGACGCCGCTGCGGAGCATCCCCCGTGCCGACTACATTTCCCAGAGGCCCGCGAGGCGGGTGCGCGGAGGCCGAGGCTGCGGGGTGGGGGCGTGTGCGGGACGCAGAGAGGCCGGGGGGCGGGGTGTGCGCGCGCGTGGGGCCAACGGGACCCGCGAGGCCGGCGCGACAGGGGTATGCTGGCGGGCGTGTGAGACAAGTGAGGTGCGAGCGTGTGGAAAGTGAGCTCTCGTGCGAGCCTCGAGGAGAGACTGAGTGGGATGAGTGTGAGCTGCCAGAGACGGTGGGAGGTGTGTGTGTGTGTGTGTGTGTGTGTGTGTGTGTGTGTGTGTGTGAGAGAGAGTGTGAGCTGCCCGAGATGGTGGAAAGTGAGTGTGAGCTGCCCGAGATGGTGGGAGGTGTGTGTGTGAGAGAAAGCATGAGGTGCCAAGAGCATGTTGGTGAGTGTGAGACTGCAGTATGTGTGTTTGGCCTATGAGGTACGAGTGTGTGTGTGTCTGAGTGTGAGAGCGGGCATTCCGTATTTAGTGTGTGTGAGATGCGGGGGGAGGGGCGCAGTGACAACTGGAGAGAGCAGGGTGTGTTTGTGTCGTGTTAAAAAGAAAGCCCCGGGCCCAGGTTGGCACCACTTAGGCCGAGTCCCCAGATGGGCAGTTAATACCCAACCTAATTGCAGGTTCGGCCTACCCTAAATGGAGTTTTAACTGGCCAGTCAAGAATTTTCTGGATGGTACCAATGAGGCAGTCTGTCGCCTGGGCCCTCACCCTCCCACAAAGGAAGAAGCGGTCATCTGTGTGAGACCCCCCCGGCCATTCCCCCTACGCCTGAAACAGTGCTTTCCCTTTTTTTCTGATAAAGTCCTGCCCCACCTCCTTCCCATTGAAACGCCGGTTTTGTACAACTGGTCGGAGCTCCCCTCCACTTGCAGGACGCCATGTAGCCTGTTCTGGAGTTGATGAATGGAGCCAATTAGAAATTTACACTTTACCCAGTTGAATTTTGTTCTTGAACAGTACCTGCATGTGACAGGAACCCAGGAGTCTTTGAAGGAGTCCACTGAGAGAGTGTGTGCGCACGTGCGCGAGCGAGCCTCGAGTGGGAGAGACCATCATGTTTGTGTGTGAGAGGAAACCTGGTGGTGTGGTTGTGTGTGAGACCAAAGTGAGCAGGGGGGAGACCACGTGAAGCGTCCATTGTCCCCTGAAGGCTTGCAGGGCCTCTCTGGGACCGTGGTGTATGTGACCGCATTTGAGGTGCCTTCCTCGGGATGTGGGTTCTTGGGATTCTGTCCTCTGTGGTCGGGAAGTGGGTGAGATCCCGTGTCCGTGTTGGCGCGTCACCCTGTATGCTCAGAGCTGCCCCCGAGTGACTGACGTGTAGGGGGACACTACTGGGAAGGTGGATAGCACGACCTTCTTGATGTGTGTTGGGATTTGGTATTGTGTGTTGCTCAGGTGACACTCCTAGACCAGAATTCCCTGCTCCCCGTTCAAGAATTCCAGTAAAAAGCAATAGGTGGGGTGACTGACCGGAGAAGGAGACCCCCTCAGTTCTGGGTGCCAAAAAGGAGGGCACACGAAGGGACCGAAGGCGGAGGTGAGAGTGAGGCTGGCAGAATGGGACGCTAAAGGGACCATTGTCCCATGGAGGGAGGCAGGCGAAGCCTGTGGGGGTTTGGGTGGAGGGCCTCCGGTGCACTTAGGAGTCACATTTTCAGACTGTAGACCATGTCGAAGCATGAAGCAGAGATACAACAAGGGAAAGGTGTGCCTCTACCTATAAAAATAAGGCCAAAAAAATAGGAAGGCAGCTTTTAGGAAAAACATTACATTTAGGGCCTTGAGCATAAGAGAGACATTTGTAAGTTACGGTCCTCTGTGGCCGCAGGGTGCCTGGAATCTCCGGGTTATTTGGGCGGAGGAATCACGGAGAGCAGGGAGGAAGAAGAGGAAGACAATTTTCAGGCTTATGATTCTGAGAGTGCAGAGCAAGCCTCACCTTCTCACTCCCCTTTCTGTCCCTCCAGCCCTGTCCTCTGGGACGCTGCCGTTCTCCAAGAGAGAAGCCAGGAAGGGAAGGCAGAGATGACTGTTGAACTAGTGAAAGCCATATCCCAGGTTAGTTACTTCCTTTCTCCTCCGAGGAAGGCAGTCTTATTCTTTAGGATTTAATAATGCCTCTTTTCTTTTGAAAATTCCCTGATTCACAGCGGCCTTGAAGGGCCTGGTTCCCAGTTTTCCCAGAGGGCACTAATTCAGCGTGCCTCTTCAACTCTTCAATCTCCTCTTAATCCATCTTCGAATCTAAGCTTCCATTATTGCATTTTTAGTTTTAGAATGTCTATTTGATTGTTTTTTTGTTTTTTTTCCTTTAAAACATGAAAATGTTTTATTTTTTTTTCCTATGCTACAAAACTTTATTATTTTTTTATGACATTCTTTTTTTTAATTTTTATTTATTTTTTATTTTCTTAATTTATATATGAAATTTATTGTCAAATTGGTTTCCATACAACACCCAGTGCTCATCCCAAAAGGTGCCCTCCTCAATACCCATCACCCACCCTCTCCTCCCTCCCACCCCCCATCAACCCTCAGTTTGCTCTCAGTTCTCAACAGTCTCTTATGCTTTGGCTCTCTCCCACTCTAACCTCTTTTTTTTTTTTTTCCTTCCCCTCCCCCATGGGTTCCTGTTAAGTTTCTCAGGATCCACATACGAGTGAAACCATATGGTATCTGTCTTTCTCTGTATGGCTTATTTCACTTAGCATCACACTCTCCAGTTCCATCCACGTTGCTACAAAAGGCCATATTTCATTTTTTCTCATTGCCACGTAGTATTCCATAGTGTATATAAACCACAATTTCTTTATCCATTCATCAGTTGATGGACATTTAGGCTCTTTCCATAATTTGGCTATTGTTGAGAGTGCTGCTATGAACATTGGGGTACAAGTGCCCCTATGCATCAGTACTCCTGTGTCCCTTGGATAAATTCCTAGCAGTGCTATTGCTGGGTCATAGGGTAGGTCTATTTTTAATTTTCTGAGGAACCTCCACACTGCTTTCCAGAGCGGCTGCACCAATTTGCATTCCCACCAACAGTGCAAGAGGGTTCCCGTTTCTCCACATCCTCTCCAGCATCTATAGTCTCCTGATTTGTTCATTTTGGCCACTCTGACTGGCGTGAGGTGATATCTGAGTGTGGTTTTGATTTGTATTTCCCTGATAAGGAGCGACGCTGAACATCTTTTCATGTGCCTGTTGGCCATCCGGATGTCTTCTTTAGAGAAGTGTCTATTCATGTTTTCTGCCCATTTCTTCACTGGGTTATTTGCTTTTTGGGTGTGGAGTTTGGTGAGCTCTTTATAGATTTTGGATACTAGCCCTTTGTCCGATATGTCATTTGCAAATATCTTTTCCCATTCCGTTGGTTGCCTTTT